ATACAGTATTTAACTTATATTACTTATATTAAATCCCTAAATTGTTTGTAAAAAAAGTTAAATATTTAAATTGCTAGCAAGCATCAAATTAATTTCTTCGGTTTTTTTGAGACATCTAAATTACTATCAAGCATTAAAATCTATTCTTTATATAAATTGCTAAAACCCATTTACAGCCTCTTTCTCTTTACTTCCCTCTCCCTCGTCTTTCTTTTTTCTTTTTCCTTTTTCTTTTCTCTCTTCTCACCTCCCATTTCAATACATCACTTTTGTTAAGTTAACCGTTTAAATAGGTCATGGTCTGGTCACTCCTCCTCCCCCAATACTAAGTATGATTGAGAGAGATATTAAATTTAACCCTCCCTAAACTCTACCGTGTATCTCTAACTACTCCTATTACACTCTCTGTTAAATTACAAAAACTACCCATCAATTTTCATTTCATTTTTCATTTCATTTTTGGAAGCGCTATCTGATGATCCAGCGTCCTTTAAAAGGGCTCTGGTGAAATAAATTATTATAATACAACCTTAAAGTGGTCTGTTTTTCTTTTATATATATATATATATATATATATATATATATATATATATATATATATATATATATATATATATATATATATATATATATATATATGAATTATTCACACAAAACTAATGCAAAGGTTAATGATTTAAATGGCGAGACATCCATCTCGCAAACAATTCAAATAGTACACAAAAACCTCCAGATCCGTTATGAATGAATTGATCCTTGTTTATATAAATTTCTGCCGTATTAGTTGTTATTTTTAAAAATTTTAAATCAAACTCAGCGTTGCTTTGGCGCGTTCAAAAACCAATATCTCATTTTCAATAGCATTTCGGATACAATACACATATATTTTCGATGTCCTCTTATTACTAAGAGAAAAAACAAGAACAACATCTATTATATACCTGAAGATGTCTGTAGGAACAGACAAAAGCTTGTAGTAAAAAATAACAACTAATACGGCAGAAATTTATATAAACAAGGATCAATTCATTCATAACGAATTTGGAGGTTTTTGTGTACTATTTGAATTGTTTGCGAGATGGATGTCTCGCCATTTAAATCATTAACCTTTTTTGCATTAGTTTTGTGTGAATAATTCATGTATTTGTAAATTGATTGCACGTTTATTGTAATATATATATATATATATATATATACCGTCTGTAACAGGAGTAGAAAAGAAATTACACATTCTATTAACGAAATGTTTTTCTACCCTGGTTAATAATTTGCCAGAAATCTCCTTTCCTGCTTGCACGCTGTCATTATTTCAGATCTCTAATCTAGTAACATATTCGAATTTGAGTATGTTACTATAGCCAACTTTTCCGCCTGCCATAATCAGGACACATTTTTCTTCCAAAGCCAAATTGTGCGTCTTCTTCATCATGTCTCATTTTATAACATGTCTTTTGTTTTCTTCTTCTTCAATGCCCTAAAAATATTTTAATATCTCTGAAGTGTCTAACAGAGGATGGAAAACGCGACACCAAAATCTGAAAGCGTATTGGAATAGCGAATGATGCCTTTCAAAAGCTAAGCAATGTTTAAAAACGGAAAAAAGAACGTTGTAAACAAAGAAAAGAGTACTGAACTGCCATGTAATAACGGTGCTCATGTCACGTAATATCGGTTTATATGACGACGAATGCTGGCCAATTTTCTCAAAGAGATCTGAGGCAAAAGAAATGTGGTTCTACGGAAAGTTGCTGAGAATATGATGGAATGATAGAATGAACATGTGAGCAGCGACGAAATTTTAGAAAAAATGGAAACAAAAAAAGAACACGTATACTTAGCATCAAAAAGAAACAGTTGAAATTTCTAGGGTATAACCTTCCTAACGAGCTTGAGTCAATGATTGATAAGCAATGATTACGAGAGATATCAAAAAGGGAGACTTTACTAACAGCTGCAAAGGATAGGAAATTGTGGAGAGCCGTGATCGCACACGTCCTGAAGGGACACGGTGCATAGAAGAAGAAGAATCCCATGCGTTGCTATCATGGTTTGTGCTGTTTTTATATTTCGCCAGATTAAAGGATTGTAAAATCTTTTTTTGAAGGCTCATTCAGTAGAACCAATATATAGCTTTTCGGGTGTTTTTTTTTTTGTTTTTTTTGTTTTTGTTTTTTTGGTTGGGGGTGATTTTACTGTGGCTCTATATACAACGCTTTCCAACATGCCATTTATCCTCAAGAGGACTCTTTGTAGAATCTCTATAATTTCACTTCTTTTTGCTTATTTTTTTCCTCTTATGCTCAGCTTTCTGTTGTTGTATCCCTTGATGTTCAACATGCAACTATAGTTTATTTTCACTATATTTTTGTTACTTTTACAACATTGAGTTTTTGGAGAAATGTTTATTTAATAATCTGAGAAAAACTATACGAATTTTAGTTTTTACTTCTAGATAAGAGGGGATAAATAATTGTTGTGAGACCGTAACATACCTACAACATGGACTCTTCCAGGACTATAAAGTATGCGATATAACACTCTAGGAGAAGAGGAGGAAAGAGAGAGAGTGAGAGAGTATTCTAATACCGTAGTATCAGCCGCGTACGACTACCAATATTGGACACTAGCACATAGTATGCTTCGCTTACACTTACACTATCTTTGTAACTTTTTTGTTTAATATATCTTTCTTACCTCTAATACGTGTTCCGTGTTTTCCTTCCGTGGTCCCAACTTTGGGTCCACATCAATAATTTTTTTTCTTTTTCCTTCTCTAGTTATCAGTAACGCCTTAGTATATTATTTACATTATTCGGACTATTGTCCTCATTTTTGTCGACATATTTATTACAACGTTTCGGCCGCTGTACGCTCCGGCCTTCTTCAAGTGGTTGGAATGTCGAACTGAACCCTTTATTTCGCTCACTGGGGTAGACTGTTCTAGTCCCATGTGCCATGTTTGATGGATGTCAGTTATCAGTTATTTCCTGTTAATTTCCCTCTGAAAGTTCTCCACTGCCTTAACCGGGTATTGAACTCACACTCTTTGGGTCCTGTCACTGGATCTAACCAACGCCTTTATCCACTGTGCCATGTGTCCTTGAGAAACGTTGTAATAAATATGGCGACAAAGATGAGAACAATAGTCCGAATAATGTAAATAATGTACATAATACCTCATCTCAGAAATATAGACAAACTACTTAGTATTATTAAAAAATCAATTATATATTTGACTCTAGTCAAATACTTGTCTATTGTACAGTTCTCGGTGTATTGCCGTCCCTACACAATCGTGTCTACGTGCACATTATTGGTAGTTTTTTATATGATTCGTAAATCATGTTGCCGTCTAGATGGTTCATTATTATTATTATTATTGAGTGATTATTATTATTATTATTGAGAAAGCAGCACGCTAACAAAATGACGCTGGTGTACAAATATACGAATCCCAATATACCCATCAAGACACCCAGGCTGATAAGAGTATACCAGGCAAATGTGCGCGATATGCTGGCAGATTTTGATAAAAAGCAGCACAAAACCTTGCAGATAGAGCACAAGTTAGAAATACCTTCAGGTCGAGTCACCCAGTCCAGTCAGACAATCTCCGATTGAGGGTGTTCTCAAGTATCTAGATGTAACTCTGAAATCGCCTTGGGTATATAATACCTAAAAACCAAACTCTCCTCTCGACATTCACTCGTGCGTCAGCCCCGAGGGGACATGTCATAGCGGTTAAAGTCAGGCAACTGACAAACAAATATTTGGTACTGAACACGATATGTACTGTTGCCCATTATTATTACTGAAAGTAAAATAGTATAAGAAGATATTTTAGAGTTCTTTATCCGATTGATCTTATTTATCAGAAAGTAAACGATTGTTAAATTATCTGATGGTGCATAAGAATCCTTTTCTTTTTTTTCAAAAATGGCTTCTAAAATATATCCACGATAATTAATGATTACCCAAACACCATAGACTACCAGCACCCGGATCTTTGCTAACTCCATAGATTTATTATATGGGACGCCAAATGGTTTCTTATTGACATCCTTAAGTTTTTGCTGTGCTAGATTGATCTCACTTGCACTGGCAATGCGAAGAAAGAAGAATTATCTCACCTACACTGGCGACACAGAATTTTCATTCCACCTTTAATCCTTTCTTTTTTTTATTAACACAAGGGTTTCTTATTTTAATCCTTTCGACGTTTAATCCATTCTTCATGTAATTCTTTCTCATTTTAATCGATTAAACGTTTGATAGTTTCTCCTTTTAATCCTTTACGCATTTAATCCTTTCTCCTTTTAATCGATCATACTTTGAAACCATACTAATTTTAATCCATTCTTATTTTAATTATTTAAATCTTTAATCTTTTTCAGACTTAGTATTTTAAAAATTGTAATCCTTTACACTTTTCGCCCTTTTAATCCTTCACACTTTAAATCCTTTACACTTTTAATCTTTCCTCCTTTTAATCCTTTACACTTTTAATCTTTTCTCCTTTTAATCCTTCACACTTTTAATCCTTTCTCCCTTAATCCTTCACATTTTTAATCCTTTCTCCTTTTATTGCTTCACATTTTTAATCCTTTCTCCTTTTAATCTTTTCTCCTTTTAATCCTTCACACTTTTAATTCTTTCTCCCTTAATCCTTCACATTTTTAATCCTTTCTCCTTTTAATCTTTTACCCTTTTAATCCTTTCTTCTTTCAATCCTTTACACTCTTAATCATTTATCCTCTTAATCCTTCACATTTTTAATCCTTTCACCTCTTAATCCTTCACATTTTTAGTTCTTTCTCCTTTTAAACCTTTCTCCTTTTAATGCTTTACGCTTTTAATCCTTTAACTTTCTAATCCTTTACCCTTTTAAGACTTTCTACTTTTAAGCCTTTATATCTTTTTTCTTTTCCCTTTCTAATCCTTTACACTTTTAATCGTTCTATCTTTTAAACTTTTAATCTTCTTCACCATTAATCAAGGGTTTACGGCCATATCACGTTCCAACATCGGATCCCATATGACTACCGAAGTTAAGTAACGTTAAGCCTGGTTAGTACCTAGATGGGTGACCGCTTGGGAATACCAGGTGCTGTAAGTTAGAATGTGCAATTGGTGTAATGGATAATGGTCCGAAATTGTTAATCAGAGAACCGAGTTCCAGATCCCGTTGGGTTCATTATATTCACTTACGCCTAAATAGCCTTGGGAAAGCTATGAATCCACCTCTTCTCTCCTCCAGTTATGGGTTAATTAGTAAGACTTATACCACTAAACCATTATTATTAAAAAAAGAATTCTTACAATCTAAAAATATATCCTGGCTTTAAATAACATATAAAGGGTTGATGAAGGCGTAAATATCAATCAATAATTCAATAGCATTCAGATATACAGTAAAACTTCAAATTAACGACCCCCAAAAACAACGGACTCTGGATTTAACGGACAAAATCCGCAGAAAGGATAGCGTCCGGCTTGAACCCAAAACGGTCGTGCGTAGCGAGCGAAGTCCGTTAGTTCCCGAATTGGCCGCTGTTGTTTATTGGCGCAATCAACAGAGAGAGACTGGTCGTTTCGGAAATAGCCGCTTTTGTTTACTTGAGCGTTTGTCATGTACACACATGCATCGTCTCTCGAAAATTTTATACAGATTTTTGACCTTCACAGAAATGTTTAAAGGTAAGTTTAGGTAAACTTTAAAACTTTTCAAATTTTATTTAAAGGTAAATTTCTCTCTTTCTCTCTCTCTCTCTTTCTCTCTCTCTCTCTTTCTCTCTCTCTCTCTTTCTCTCTCTGTGTGTGATTTAAGTTTAAGTTAAAAATAAAATACACATACATATATACTGTATTTAGATTTATTTACAATAATTTTGTAGTATATACTGTATTTACATTTATTTATAATAATTTTGTAGTTTTTTTAGGTCACGAAAAAAGTGCTTTAAATTAAAGGACAAACGACTTTCTCAGACAAACCTCCCCCTATTAGTCCGTTAAATTGAGGTTCCACTGTAATTCAGTTTCTAGCAGACTTAATCAACCTTTACACTGAGGCGATCCTGAGAGAACTAGAAGTCGTACCAGGATTTATTATTGGTGGACACGATCTTAGCAGCTTAAGATATGCAGATGACACAGATTTGCTAACAGAAAACAGAAAGGAAACTACGGGAACTCCTACAGAAGATAGTAAAGGAAGGTGAGAAGAAAGGACTAAGCATTAATTGTAAAAAGACAGAATGTATGCTTCCCAGACAAAGAAACAGGCCAAGATGCGAATTGCGAATTGGAGATGCCAAAATTAAAGAAGTACAAAAATTCCTGACGGCAGATGGTACTGATGTGCTGACAGCCGAGCCGAGCCGAGACGAGTGATCCCGAAATGCCGCTCTCCAAGACGGAGTCGCAGTCCGGATGCACGCCAGCCTGACCTAGCCGACCACTTGATGGGCGCCGTACGTCAGTCTTCGTCGTCGCCGGATTCCTGGATTTTGGCATCTCCAATTCGTAATACCTGGGAAGAGGACAGAAAACGTGACATCAAAATTCCGAAGGCTCATTGAATTAGCGAAAGATGCCTTCCAAAAGCTAAGCAAAATATTGAAACACCAGGAAACTGTTTTCGTTATAAACAAAGAAAAAAAGTGCTGAACTGTTTATACAATATCAAGTTATCCTATATGGCAGCGGATGTTGGACAATCTCTCCACAGATGAGGAAGTGACTTGAGACAACAGAAATCTGGTTCTATGGAAGGATACTAAGAATACCATAGACTAGATATGTGAGTAATAAGGAAGTTTTAAGGAAAATGGAACCAAGAAGAATACTTATCATCAGAAAGAGACAGTTGATATTTCTTGGACATAAATGAGGAAAGAGGGTTTGGAGAATTTGACACTGACAGGACATACTGAAAAGTGAAATAAAACACCGAGAACCTACCTAACGAGATCGTGTAAATGGCAGAGCAGAGAGTGGAGGGATGGTGAAAAGACAAAATTTACTAACAGCTAGAAAGGATAGGATGTCGTTAAGAGACATGATCACCTATTTCGACGGCACATTGATGACGATAATTTACCTTAATTATTAATTATATCACAAGCGAAGGTCACTTTTATGCGATTTTTTTTTTGTTCTTATCTATTTTTATACTTGATTATAGTCTTTCTCGAGTCGAGCAAATCGTTTATCGATTTATAATTATTTATTTTTTTTATATTACTTATATTATTTACACTCGGATCATTGTTATTATCACAACGTTTCGGTCGTTGTGCCTTTCGGTCTTCTTCAGGCGCTTGCCGATCCGTGTAATCTTCAGTGAATTTCTAAATGAACCATTTATTCAATCTACGGAGATTATTCTCATTCCGCTGTCCATCTCGTTTAGCTCTTATTTTAGAGCTGCTCACATATTGCTCATCCACTTCCAGGCCCAGGAATTGAACTCACGGTTACTATGTCACCAAATTCGCAAACCAACGCATTAATCTACTTAATTTATTGTACTATTCTGATTCTAGAACTTGAAGTTTTAAACTTATTCTGCCTGCATTAAATTTACTCTGCCTGTTTTTACCCTACTCTGCCTGCACTAAGCCTACTCAGCCTGTTTTTAACCTATTCTGCCTGTTTTAACCTACTCTGCCTGTTTTTAACCTACTCTGCCTGCTTTAAAACTATTCTGCTTGCACTAAGCCTACTCTGCCTGTTTTTAACCTATTCTGCCTGTTTTTAATCTACTCTGCCTGCTTTAAACCTATTCTGCCTGCACTAAGCCTACTCTGCCTGTTTTAAACCTACTCTGCCTGTTTTTAACCTACTCTGCCTGTTTTTAACCTACTCTGCCTGCTTTAAACCTATTCTGCCTGCACTAAGCCTACTCTGCCTGTTTTTAACCTATTCTGCCTGTTTTTCATCTACACTGCCTGCTTTAAACCTATTCTGCCTGCACTAAGCCTACTCTGCCTGCTTTTAACCTACTCTGACTGTTTTTAACCTACTCTGTCTGCTTTAAACCTACTCTGTCTGCTTTAAACCTATTCTGCCTGATTTAAACCTATTCTGCCTGCAATAAGCCTTCTCTGCCTGCTATTAACCTATTCTGCCTGTTTTTAACTAACTCTGCCTGCTTTAAACCTATTCTGCCTGCACTAAGCCTACTCTGCCTGCTTTTAACCGACTCTGTCTGTTTTTAATCTACTCTGCCTGCTTTAAACCTACTCTGCCTGCACTAGGCCTACTCTGCCTGCTTTTAAACTATTCTGTCTGTTTTTAACCTACTCTCCCTGCTTTAAAACTATTCTGCCTGTTTTTAACCTACTCGGCCTGTTTTTAACCTACTCTGCCTGTTTTTAAACTACTCTGCCTGCTTTAAACCTATTCTGCTTGCACTAAGCCTACTCTGCCTGTTTTTAAGCTATTCTGCCTGTTTTTAATCTACTCTGCCTGCTTTAAACAAATTCTGCCTGCACTAAGCCTACTCTGTCTGTTTTTAACCTATTCTGCCTGTTTTTAATCTACTCTACCTGCTTTAAACCTATTCTGCCTGCACTAAGCCTACTCTGCCTGTTTTAAACCAACTCTGCCTGTTTTTAACCTACTCTGCCTGTTTTTAACCTACTCTGCCTGTTTTTAACCTACTCTGCCTGCTTTAAAGCTATTCTGCCTGCACTAAGCCTATTCTGCCTGTTTTTAACCTATTCTGCCTGTGTTTCATCTAAACTGGCTGCTTTAAAACTATTCTACCTGCACTAAGCCTACTCTGCCTGCACTAAGCCTACTCTGCCTGCTTTTAACCTACTCTGACTGTTTTTAACCTACTCTGCCTGCTTTAAACCTATTCTACCTGCACTAAGCCTATTCTACCTGTTTTTAACCTACTCTGCCTACATTAAACCTACTCTGCCTGTTTTTAACCTACTCTGTCTACTTAAAACCTATTCTGCCTGCTTTAAAACTATTCTGCCTGCACTAAGCCTACTCTGCCTGCTTTTAACCTACTCTGTCTGTTTTTAACCTACTCTGCCTGCTTAAAATCTACTCTGCCTGTTTTTAACCTACTCTGTCTGCTTTAAACCTACTCTGTCTGCTTTAAACCTATTCTGCCTGCTTTAAACCTATTCTGCCTGCACTAAGCCTTCTCTGCCTGCTTTTAAACTATTCTGCCTGTTTTTAACCTACTCTGCCTGCTTTAAACCTATTCTGCCTGCACTAAGCCTACTCTGCCTGCTTTTAACCTACTCTGTCTGTTTTTAACCTACTCTGCCTGCTTTAAACCTACTCTGCCTGCACTAAGCCTACTCTGCCTGCTTTTAACCTACTCTGCCAGCTTTAAACCTACTCTGCCTGTTTTTAACCTACTATGTTTGCTTTAAAACTATTCTGCCTGTTTTTAACCTACTCTGCCTGTTTTTAACCTACTCTGCCTGCTTTAAACCTATTCTGCCTGCACTAAGCCTACTCTGCCGGTTTTTAAACTATTCTGCCTGTTTGTAATCTACTCTGCCTGCTTTAAAACTATTCTGCCTGCACTAAGCCTACTCTGCCTGTTTTTAACCTATTCTGCCTGTTTTTAATCTACTCTCCCTGCTTTAAACCTATTCTGCCTGCACTAAGACTACTCTGCCTGTTTTAAACCTACTCTGCGTGCTTTAAACCTACTCTGCCTGATTTTAACCTACTATGCCTGCTTTAAAACTATTCTGCCTGCACTAAGCCTATTCTGCCTGCTTTTAAACTATTCTGTCTGTTTTTAACCTACTCTGCCTGCTTTAAACCTACTCTGCCTGTTTTTAACCCACTATGCCTGCTTTAAACCCACTATGCCTGCTTTAAACCTATTCTGCCTGCTTTAAAACTATTCTGCCTGCATTAAACCTATTCTGCCTGCATTAAAACTACTCTGCCTGTTTTTAACCTACTCTGCCTGCTTTAAACCTATTCTGCCTGCTTTAAACCTATTCTGCCTGCACTAAGCCTACTCTGCCTGCTTTTAAACTATTCTGCCTGTTTTTAACCTACTCTGTCTGCTTTAAACCTATTCTGCCTGCACTAAGCCTACTCTGCCTGTTTTTAACCTATTCTGCA